CCTAGGCTCATTCGACTCCCTCCCTTTCGTCTCAAAGCGTAGCAGCGGTCGAGTGAAAGAGCAAGAGCGAAGAGAGGTGATGGCGCCGTCGCCGGCCCCCTCGCCGGCGCCCGCGCTCCCCAGCAGGTGAGCACGCCGCCGTCGAGCGGTCTGGGCGACGGTGCCCTGATCCCCACACGCGTTGCGGTGAGAAGCTCCCGAAACCATAGATCTGACCGGCGCCACCACAGGTCCCATCGCCGGAGCGCGTGCTCCCCAGTGGGTGAGCGCGCCGCCATCAAGCGGTCCTATGACGGTGCCCTCGGCCGGGCTTGCGCGCAAGGCGGTGGGCGCGGCTCGGCTTCTCCCCGCGCACCGACGAGGCGGCGGCGGAGCTCCTTCCCGCGTGACGGCAAGAGACAACCCACGCGATGGCGGTGATAACGTGCGGCGGAAGAGTCCAGGTAGGTCCTCCAACCATGGAACGGTTGGGCGCCCCTGATCAGGGCGCGGATCCAAGGTCCCAATTGGCTGGGTGGAGATCACCTAACACATACTTGATTCATTGGATCATAGCCTTGGTCAGATTTGGTTATGCAAATTAAGATCTGACATAGCTAGATGGTGTTGATATGGATAGGATAGTAGACAAAGAAACATTGTTGGGAAAAAAACTGAAGTATGAAGTGACTGTATAACCTTAATTGTTGGCTCAGAAAATCATAACCATGGTTAACTATGATCCTTTCAGTAATAACCATTTTCAAATAGATATGTACTGTGAACAGTTCTGTCGCAATGTTTGCTTAATTTGCAAAATTGGTGCTCTGACTACAAATTAATTGAAAGAAAATTCCAAGCACACGGTGCGACGATCATAACTGTTACAGTTAGTTTGGAATTTCAAACATATAGCTACATATATATATATAGAATGGTGTATTGGTCATTTTCAGGTTCAGAGTCTGATTTTTTTTTCTGCATATCATTAGGTAGCATGGTTGGATAAACCCATTTTGCCTGCGTACAACAGAAAGCCGTGTCCTTGTAGTGTATAGTAGAATGTTTTGTGCCTGTGCAGTAAACATTTCTTCTTTGTCTCTATCATCAGGAAGCAATGTCGAGGCGACTAAGTGATGCTACAACGGAACAATCCAGTAATGACGATTCATCTGTTGATGAGAGGCCAAAGCCTCGTAAGAAGATAGAATCTACCTCGGTAAAGGCAAAAACCACAGCTCCAAAAATTATACTTCACGATCCTAAATGGACTGACGGCAGCATTCCATTGGATGCATTTCCTGATAAACTCTCAAAAATTGGAAAGGTAAGCAACTCTATTTTATTGGCTCAGTCTCCATTTAGTGTTCCTGACTTGACTTGAGTTTCTAATATAATTTCTACTGAATTTCAGGAAGCTTTTGAAAGGAGAGATTTAGCAGCAACTTCTGCAGCTAACGCCCTGCAAGAGGCATTGGTCTCTGAATCTGTAATCAGGAATATAAGGTATTTGGACACATATATTTTCCCTTTCTAAAAACATAACCAGTGCATTTGTTTAGCAGAAAAGTGGTGCGATAATATCTTGTTTATTTCTGCCTATTGTTCAGCAGAAAAGTGGTGTGATAATATCTTGTTTATTTCTGCCTACAGCAAGTTCTCTGAAATCTGCACTTCGTCAAAGGTCTCCAATCCATTTCCAACAGTCGATCTTTTCCTGGTTGTCTACGAGGATACTCTCAAATGGAAGACCATCTCTGAGTCTATGGTGACCAATGGGGCTGAAGAGGAATTCTTCGAGAAATCAACTAAGCATTGGGTTGGTGCTGCATTAGCCACTGATCTTGAGGTCCTCAAGCTGCTGAACGGTGCCACTGGATCCTTCTCTCGGACGAGGAGCACCAACAAGCCAAATGCATCTTCAGTGGAACCACCAAGAACAAGCCTGTCGAAGAAGCCAACACATGGAGCTTCAGCAAAAGTGCAGTCTAAGGTTGCACCAAGCTCTCCACTGAGGTGCACATGGAGTAACACCGAGAGCATGAGTGAGACAGCTGAGCTTGCCAAGTCCTTGTGGCGTGAGATGCATACGTGGTTCCTGACTTTTGTGGACGAGGCACTGGATGTGGGCTTCCACCTGTTCGAAGATCAGAACGTCGCTAGCAAGGGAAAGCACAGCAGCCACATAACGATGGTCCTCTCACAGTTCAAGAAGATCAGCGACTGGTTGGACCAAGTAGGGAAGATTGCAGAGTAGGAGAGGACCAAGGAGAAGATCGAGTGCTTGAAGCGCAAGATCTATGGGTATGTCATTAGCCACATGGGGTCTGCATTCGAGAGCTCTGTCTCGGTTTCTTCCAGGAGTTGAGGGGATGCTTCATGCTCTGAAGCTTGCTGCTCACAGTTTCTGTTCACGTTGGTTCTTCAAATTGTTAAGATTTAAAGGTTACACAATCATGTAGCCTGTTGGTGCAGTTCTTTGTTTTCATTTGGGGTGACTAATTTATGACTTGTTTCGTCATGTGAATAAATTATCGTATTATCATGATGGACTGCCTTATGTGTGGTTTGTCAGGTATGATTATGAAGAGAGCGAGGCTATCACCATTTCTTGGTTCAGTTTGCATTTTGTTGTGAGTTTGTTATGTCCATGTCAGCCGTCGTACTGAGAGCTGTGACTATGCGCAGATTGAGATGATTATGCCCTTTCAAAGCAAAAGGCATATGCAACGGTAAAGACAATCATGCTGTTGCCTATAACTTTTTCTCTTTATGCAACGGTAAAGCAAACGTCATCTTGTCAAATGTGTCTGGAGTAGTATCTCCTGGTCATGTTTTTCAGTTTTCACTAGGCACTGGTTTCCTTTGGTACTCAGTCCATTGGATGGGTGTGCAGTACAACACAAAAAACAGAGATGTCTTTTCTGTAAACTAGTGATACAGCTCCAGGAAAACAGCACGCCCATTTCTTGGGTTCTTCAATTTCTGAGAAATTCACCCTTCTCCTTGTTCTGCTTGATTGCTCAATGTGCATACGTGAATGTTGCTGAGTTTACTTTGAGTATGCAACTGATGTAACATTTTTTAACAAACCAACAGCAAAGAAACTCCCGGGTCCTGAATGACATCCACTGAAGGCAACACCACACAAGAACCAACCGAATTTCAAGTGTTCCATCATCAAGCCATCTGGTAGACTGACAGTTGCATTCTAATTGGACTGTAAGATGAAAACGTTGAGCCATATATAAATGTCGGCGAAGTGTAAAATCTGAGCACGGGAATTTTTTTTGATTGCCTGAGCACTGAAATTAAACGTTGATATTTGTGAGGACCCTACTACTATGTCCTCATAATTGGCATTCCATACTAGCGTTTCAAGGAAAGTTCTATAGAACATATTTTGACTAGTGAAGCATTTAATATGGTAGTAGTTTATATTTGTAATCTGTAGCTGATTCATGATCATCATTAGGTAAAAAGTTTAGAAGTTAACTCTCCTTTGGTTGTTTTTGGGCTAATGTACTTTCTTTGTTTTCTTTTAGAATTTTTTCTATCAGCTAAATGAAATGGAATTGCACACTGCCGTGGCCGTATGGTGTCCTTCACCGGTTGGATTTGTCGCCATATTAATGGTTATTGAATTCATCAGACGAAGAGAGGACACTGATGATTGCTGATCCTGAGCTGGGTGCAGCTTCCGTGCCAGTGAATGTTGGATGGTCCAATGCAGTTTTTGACATTGAACAGAGGTCCTGGGAATGATCCAGTAGATTAAGCTCTTTCATATTCTTTATTTGTGCAGATTATGATATAGATATCCTGAAGTTTTGTTTTTGTTTTTTTCAAACACGCAGGAGAGTTACGTACGTACATACAGATTGTAGTAAAATGTCTAGATTTTCACCTCTAGCCGTTTGAGTTTCCATAACTACTTCATGTTAAATTATTCGATCTTGACATTACATTATATACAGGAAATGAAGGGGCGTAACAAACACCACCTGAATGCAACCGCCGCGGCCCGCTGCGGCGCTCTCATCTCAGGACACCCTGACCCTCCTGCTTCATTTTATAAAGCAGATCGACCAGCAGCCGTCGCCCGCTCGCCGTCCCACCTCCACCACCACCGGCACCGCCTCGCTCAATCGCGCTCGACTGCCACTGCTTCCGCCGCACCGTCCACCGACGAAGCGCGCCACCGCACAGGCCACAGCCCACCTCAGCACCCAACGCCGCCAACGTCAACGAGGAAACCACCACCGTCAAGAGGACCGTCGCCGCCCTCGGTCTCGTCGACCCCGCCGGGCCGCCAGTCAAGCGGCAAAAATCTCATAGCGCTAAAAGTGGTTTATCCTAGCATTTGCGCTGCCTAGACACTGTATACGGTAGCCGGAGATTTAAAACTTTGGTGCCATCTATGACTAAATTACATACATGGAGAAAAGCTCCGGTCCAAGCGTGGTGCCGAAATTGTTTAAATTTGAATTTATTTGAATTTGTTCAGAAATTCCGCATTAATCGGCTGGGCCGAATTTTGCTTTGTACCAGTATAAAACACCCTGGCAACGATTTTAACTTGTTACACAACTGGTTTGAAATTTCAAACATACATATAGCGGTACATAATGGTGTATTATTAGTCATTTTCTGGTTCATAGTTGTGGTTATTTCTCTCCATTTTACTCAGTAGCATGGCTGCTGGATAAACAATTTTTCATGTGCACAATACAAAGTTTTTTTTTTTTTGAAGAATCACAATAGAAAGTATTGGTGTCCTTGTTCAGGGTACATTATTCTGCACCTTTTCATTAAACACTTCTTCTTCGTCGTCTCTATTATCAGGAAGCGAAGTTGAGGCGACTAAGGGACGGCAGGATTTCATCGGAAATCAGAAAGGTAGGCAGCTGTAGTTTAATTTGTTGTTGGCCTCACAATCTCCGTGCTTGCCAAATGCACCAAAGACAAAGAGCACGGCGAAGGAGAGGACGGCTGAGCTTGCCAAGGACTTGTGTGGGCAGATGCAAAGATGGTTCCTGGCTTTTGTGGAGGAGGCACTGGACGTGGAGAACAAGTGGAAGCACAGCAGCGACACACCGACGCTTCTCTCACAGTTCGAAAAGATCAGCGACTGGTTGGAGCAGGTACATCATCAGATCGTGGAGGAGGAGTGGACCAAGGAGATGATCAAGCGCTTGAAGCACAGGATCGGTCACAACTTAAGACGATTAAAAGAGTGGGGTCCTGTGCCTCCGAGAACTCAGTCTCGTCGGTCTCATCAGTGAGACCACCATAGACTGTTCTGCAGTAGATTGTACAGACGATCGATGTGACAGTTTGTTTTGTTCGTCTAGAATACAAGAAACCTTGCATGTTCGTCACTAGGCAAGTAGGCAGTCGAACTCCTGCTGTAGCAGTGTACTCGAACATGGAAACTGTGCTCATATATTGCGCTCTTGAGTTTCTTAGAAATTGCTCCCCTTACCTGTTCAATATTTGTAAGCGAATGTTACTTATAGTGTAGTTTGAGTATGCAACCGGCAGTAAAGGAGAGGAGAGATGCTCAATCATACAATCTCCGAACTAAAACAATGTTTTGCCAGCGAAGAAACTTCTGAGTTCCAGTGCAATCCATCTTTTTTCTAGAACAACCAGTGCAATCCATCTACCTAAGCAACACCACATAGGAACCAATTTTGAAGTGCTGGATCAAAGTCAGAGTGGGCCCAGACAGGAGCGGTCCATCTGGAAGAGAAGTGGGACCCATCTTCATCTCCTCCATCTTGAAGAGATGTCGGCCAAATGTAAAATCAGAGCAATCAACCATGAAATTTAATGTGGATGTGGATATTACGTGTGTCTGTAAATTGTGCTAATTCTGCACTGAACATATGTGTAGTCACCTCTTTCTCACTTTAGCAATTAACAGTTGACGACGAGCATGGAAACAATGGTCATGGAGGAGACGTGAGCCTTTCTTGATGTGGATGACCAATATGGAAACATGGCACCACAACACGAGTAAGCAATTAGAGGCAGAATCCGACCCCAAAACAGGGCAAGCTGTGCTCAACATAAGCACAAGCTCGAATTATTATTATTTAATTTGGCCATGTCATCATAAGGTAATGATATTACAACTCTTACGCCAAAGGGTGTGGATATTACATTTCATTCCAAAAAGAAAACCTGCAATAGTATGTCACAACTTCTAGATACACTTTGTTTCATGCATGCATGCATTGGTCAAATTTATTTTAAGCACCGGCCATTGCCTTTGCTTCATGCATGGTGATCAGTTCATGTTTGTCTTGCCCATACAGCAACAAGGACATACACTTTGTCGCACAGCTTGTCTGAGAGTCGAAAGCAAGCGATTCTCCAACTTCTCTTGAACATCAGAACACCAAATGCCATCCAGGTACCAACCACGAAGCCGCACCCGAGCCCAAGATAAAAGAATTGTATCCCATGACCTCCTTCAGTTCTTCCCAGGCCACCTTGCTTTGGCGCATGACCCTCACTTGAGCAATTGTTTTGAAGGGGATGCCCACAGAGACCGGTGTTGCCAATGTACATAGATGGATACTCTGCATACAGGGTATCAAGCTGCGATCCTGATGGAATTCTTCCCGTAAGATTGTTGTATGACAAGTCCATGTAGCTTAAGAACGTTAGATTTGAAAGACTAGCCGGTATTTCCCCAGAAAGCATGTTCCTCGAGAGGTCTAGTGATTCAAGCGACTGCATTTCCCCAATCTTGTTTGGAACAACTCCGCTCAAGTGGTTCCTTGACAGATTCAAATTCACTAGATCGTCAAGGAAAACTATTTCTTCTGGAATTTCACCGATTAAATTGTTAGAAGATAAATCAATGCTCATCATCCTTGTCTGCAAAACTCTATAGATGGAACCGTAGTTCAATTCCTGCCCCTTCAAGACTGTAGACACACTATTAAGATGAGGATTCCATAATTCAGCGCTGTAATAACAACCCATCATGGATGTGTTTGTCATAAATTTAAGATTTGATAGGTAGATCGGCAGAGAGCCTGATATCTTATTGTTATTTAGATCCATGTACTGAAGGCAAGGAAGGTTTGTGATGTTCATTGGAATGCTACCAAAGAACTTGTTGTGACTTAATCGTATAACTCTTAATGATGTTAAGCTTCCAATCCACATTGGCAATCTTCCAGAGAATTTGTTCCAAGACAAATCTAGGAAGAACACAGTTGTCAAGTTTTGCAGAAAAGACGGGAACTTTCCTGACAAACTATTGTTACTTAAGGCTACACATCCCATAGATTCCGTTCCCTTGAGGCACAACGGTGGTTCTCCCTCTAAAAAATTGTTGGATAAGTCCAACACATATAAGTGTTGATATTTACAAAAAGATTCAGGAATATGACCAGTGAGTCGGTTGGAGAACAGAGATAGCCGGTTTAGATTGGTGGATCGAGCAGCGGACGGCAGAGGTCCCGACAAGAAGTTGTTGGACAAGTCCAAGAAACTTATGTTTGGTGGCAGTGTGGGTATCTGACCAGTTAATTGGTTTGAGCTGAGATAGAGCTCTTCAAGTGACATGGAGCCCATATCGGTTGGCAAAGTTCCGTTGAGTTAATTGTTGGAGATGTTCATGAACCGAACATTTGAAAAGGCATCGAAGAACCATTGTGGAAGCTTATCATCTATACCTGCACTCGAGATATCAAGATAGGTGATGTTCACATTCCACTTAAGCCAACTAGGAAAGAGTGGGCCCATCTGGCAGGATGCAAAGTATGCGGTATCTAATCTAAATGGTGGTTGCCAATCCGAGTTGATCTCAATCTTCAGGGCATTATATGACAAGTCTATGTATTTCAGGCTCCTTGCACTAACAAGGTGTTCCTCCGTTATCACGCCATCCAATTTATTACTATGTAGGTCCAGATCGGTCAGATTACTGAGCATACCAATCTCATATGGAACATGTCCATTTAGGTTGTTGCAAGAGAGGTCAAGTGTCTGCAAACCGGTAAGTTGCCCTATAGATGGTGGGAGGGATCCTGTGATGTTGTTCCAACCAAGATTCAGAACGACCAAGCTCGTTAATTGCCCTATCCATCTTGGTAGCATCCCAGTTAATTGGTTCGAATTGAGGTCCAATTCTTGCAATTTGTTGGGTGAACAGCGAGGTAGTTTATTCCTAAACAGCTCAGCTATGTCGCCATATAAGAGAGCCCAATCAAGGTTCAGGACCTCCAAATTGCATAGATTCTTCAAATCCGTGGTCATGATGCGATACTTCTCATCATTATTATAATTATATGAAAGATCAAGGACTTGAAGGGATGTCATGTCGCCCAGAGCATCCGGAAATTGACCGTACATACTAGTGGCGTGGAGGTAAAGGTATCTGAGACTTGTTATGTTCCAGAACCAGCTGGTCACCATTGGATGGTCGAAGGAGTTCCAGGAAGCATCTAGCTCCTCGAGGTTTGTAAGATTCAGGTGTGGCAGTGACTGGTTTGCGCTTGCAAGAGAGCAGTCGGAAAGATGAAGGACCCTCAAAGATGGAAGCATGTTCATGACATGATGCCAATCCACTACTGTGCTGAGATTCACTAGGTCAAGGTTAAGATACTGTATAGAAGAAAGGCGTGTTAACCATGAGAGATCCGTCGAGTTTGTGTCTCCCCTAAAGTTGGAATTGGAAAGATCTAGATACTGCAGCCTTGATAAGTTGCCAAACTGGGGAGGCAGGCCACCGTAGAATGGTATGCTAGAGAGGTTCAGATAGGAGAGATTCTTTAGAGAGCCCAAGAACTCGGGAAGACGACCACTTGGCCCTGTTAGATCATTCCAGCTGAGGTCAAGGTGCTCTAGATGATCCAGAGCAAGCAAAGAAGGACTTATCTTGCCCTCCATAGCTGCTGCTTCTTCTCTGGTGTTTCGAAGTCGAAGCTCATGGACGTGACCAGTCCGGTTGCTGCACCGGACGCCTCTCCATCGGCAACAGTCCTGCTCGCCGTGGCCACCATCTCGCCGCCACGAGGTGAGGAGGCCTGCAGGGTCGCTGGTGACGGCGTGCTTGAATGCCAGCAGGGCGTCCCTCTCGTGGGGTATGCAGCTCGGAGGACTAGCTGTGTTATCACTAGCGGCTGGCTGGGGCTGCTGCTGTGCTTTCAGCGTGGCGATGAACAAGAAGCAGCAGAGCAACGACACGAGCATGGCAGCTGCTAGGCGATGCATGGTGGCAACCATCGACAATACTAGAAGAGAATGGCAGGATATATCAGTTCTGGAGCCCGAGTGTTATTATTATAGCAGGTGGATGCAGAGGATACTGCAGATGGGTCAATTGACCGTGGACTGAGGTGAGGTCGTCGCTCGGTCACCTTCCGTGTAGAAGAGGTCAGGCATCTGCGTACTGGCCCACGCGCACTCCTCCTACGCAGATTAGGTGAGGAAGGCTTGACGCCCTGTGCCCAGTCTGCGCGTATGTATGCCCGAATTTTTTATTTTTCAGCCTATTTTTGAAAAAATATTCACGAATAGACTCACGGTGGTTTCATTTTCGTTTATGGATCCTGACCTCGGCGCCATGGCTTTTGACGCCGAGGAAACACGTCTCGGCGCCATGGACAATGGCGCCGAGGTCTTGGCGAGGCATCGGACGTGGCGGTGACCTGGCGTCGACGTGGACAAGGCTTCGGCGCCGTAGATCTTGGCGCCGAGCTGTTACCCTATAGATCTCGGCGTTTAAAATGAAACGAGTATAATTGTTCCGAGGAACATGCAACGATGCTATTTATGGTTCAGCTGGTTATGACGCGCGCGACTTAGCCCAAGGGTCTGGGTTCGAACTCCGACGCTGAATCTTTTTTTCTTATAAAACTAACTCGATTTTCAACCCTTTTGATATATCGTATCGAACTGTCCCAGCAAAAACCAAAATTCTTACTGAACAAATTATTTATTTAGGACGCGCGCTATAGTGCGATGGACAGAAATGCATCCACTGCACCGTGTGGAGCAGGACAAATCGAGATGCTTGCCGTGTCTTATAGGGCCAAATGCGGTTGGGTGTTGTTGTTATTATTAATCTGTTTCATTCACAGACGATGTGGATTGTAGATCAAAGGGTTAATGACGCAAGTCTCGGTGCAAATTGCGACCAGAGTGAGATCCATGCCCCCACATTTCCTACTACTCCTAGCTACTAGTACTAGTAGCAATGAAAGGCAGCATGGTGCCAAGACAAAGCAAACAAGAACACTGGGTTTTTTTTTACCTGCAAAAAAAATAAAAAATAGTGGAACGCTAGCTAGCTAGTCAGTGAATAAAAAAGTTGCTACACTGACACTGGTGTCCGGCATGATTACTTTACCCATTGCTGTAAACCTGTAACCATATTTTTTTTCTTTCTTTCCGTGTTAAAAAGATCACCAGTACTCCGTACATATTACACAGTGCATGAGATAATAAGGAGATTATGCGTGGAATGGGGATATTATCAGGACGGTCTAGATAGGCTGGCTGGGGCTGGCCAGCCCCTCACATCAGTACTGTTTAGCTAACAGTACTTCTCTCTCACATAAATGAATCAGCAACGATGCGAACCAACCAACCAAACAGGCTGATATATGATATAAAGGACTGTCCCATGTGGCACGGCTCCGAAATCTCCAGCTAGCTCGTCGTCCTTTCCGAAACTAATCATATTTTCGCACAGTACACCACATTTACGTAAATTTATTTATGCCGCTCACGGTCGACTTGAGTTCACATGGATGATATATCGTTCAAGCGGACCGTCCTGGGTCCGAAGAACGCCGTCGCCGACCCCGCGCCGCAGCAGCCCGTCAAGCGCCGGTTCTCGTCCCCGGCGCCCAGCAGCGAGACCCGTCGCCCGCTAGAAGAGAATGGCAGGATAGATCAGTTCTGGAGCCCGAGTGTTATTATTAGGCCCTGTTTAGTTCCATCCAAAACCTAAAAATTTTTGCGCAGTATTCATCACATCGAATCTTGCGGCACATGCATGGAGTACTGAATGTAGACGAAAAAAAAACTAATTACACAGTTAGGTGAGAAATCGCGAGACGAAACTTTCGAACCTAATTAGTCCATAATTAGACACTAATTGTCAAATACAAACAAAAATACTACAGCATCCAAAACCAAAAAATTTTGCCAACTAAACAGACCCAGACCCTTAGGGTAGGTGGATGCAGAGGATACTGCAGATGACCGTGGACTGAGGTGAGGTCGTCGCTCGGTCACCTTCCGTGTAGAAGAGGTCAGGCATCTGCGTACTGGCCCACGCACACTCTTACGCAGATTAGGTGAAGAAGGCTTGATGCCCTGTGCCCAGTCTGGGCGTATGTATGCCCGAATTTTTTATTGTTCAGCCCTTTTAAAAAAAATATTCACAAATAGACTTCAATGATCTTATTTTTATTTATGGACCCTGACCTCGACGCCCTAGCTTATCAGGAGCCGCGTGGCCACGCTCAGACACGTGTTGCGGACGGACATCATCGTAGAATCATTATCGTAAATGAATTCCCAAGTTACCGTGAAGTACAGTCGTGCCATCTTTATCCAGATGGATGGTTTTTCCATCAGAGTACAAAACTGAGGTTGGCGATTCTATTGGCCACTCGTCCAACCACAGTTCCAAATTAAGGCTGACGAGCCGTCCTGAATATGTAGAGTTCGTGATTACAGTTCAAAACAAGAAACCCGGTCCATCAAAAGAAAAAACATTAAACTCGCTTTGTTTGCCATTGCGGCGGCCACACGATTATTTTGTTAGATCTGGATGCTACAATTAGCTAGAAGCATCTTTTAGATCCATAAGACTCTGCAACTGTAAAAACAGAGATTTGTTCACATTACCACATACTCTGCAAGGGTTGTCATACGCAAGGACGACATCACCCAGGTTTCTTACACTACACAGCAAGAAACATGCGAAGCTTGTCATGCATCATGCATTGTATCACGAAACAATATGCAGCATGAATTTTGAAGCAAGGAAACCGTACCTTTGGAATCAGGGACTCAATAACAGACATGAGGGTGGCTCCCCAGTTGGTGACCTGATGGAGAAATCTCCCTTCTTGTTCTTGAGTTCATAGACCCCAACCGTCTTCCTCACCACATCAGCCCGACAGGCCAATGCAAGGCACAACAACAAAGCAACAGGGAGCAGGGCAGCTCTAGCCATTGGGTGATACTGTTACCACCCTACAAGATGAGAGAAGGAACAGATGTATATATGCAGATGGCTAGATGCCCTTCACCATTCTCCTCTCTCAAGTTTTCAGTGAGAAAAGGTCAAAACTCAGCATCCCCATGCTGTAATCCAATGCCTCCTTTTTTTCCCTAGAGATCTGAGAGTTACTAGTACTTTATTTAGAAAATTGAGAATTACTGGTACTTTAATTTAGCCGTGCTTCTTTTCCCCTTGTCACCTCAGTATCCATTGCATATGGCATCTTTGGTACAGAGGTCTAATATAACAATCAAAACGCATGGAAACCGTGCCTGTGGTATAAACAAATTAAACACGTGAGGGACTTTGTACAATACACCTCAGCTTTCAACGCAAGTACCTTGTATACAGTAAGTCATGAGCAAAAAGAGGGAACCTCCAGATACAGAACTCATAGCATTAATTATGCTTGTACAACTGTAGTCAGTGTACTCAGCTATCATATTTTGGGTTTCAGTTTTATTTGGTTGTCACCCTAATGAACAAAATCCACAAACTATGGAAATTGCATTTAAAATTTCAGTAAAAATTCCTTTTAAAACTTGGAATGATAAAAGGAACACGATCTACAACACATATAGCGCTACTTTATTCACAGAAAACATTTTAGTTTGAAGTTTATAGAAGGTTAGTGAAATGAGCGAGTTTTACGAAAATCGGAAATTCCGTTCAAAGGTTTGAATCAAATTTAGATTGACCTCCAAATGAAAAATAAATATATATAGGACTGAATCATGACAGAAATTTTTGTGTGCAGCATATTGGATTATTGAAGCTGAAGACAAGTGGGAGTACTCAACATATTTCTTTTAGACAGATTATAAACACTACCGTCACTGAAATCAGTCTGTCAACCGTCCATCTGCTTGGAATATAAACATATCATGGCTAGAAATACTTTTTAGAAATATATGGATAATAGAGCTTTATGAAATGCTTATGATTTAGGATTTAGAGGTGACTAAGCATGCGTATACTGACCATGTTTCCTTATATTCCTATACTGAATCGGACTGTTGGTTTAGTTATTTTTCTTGTTTTTTTCTTAAGTTCACAATATGTGTTATATATGTGTTGACATCTATGGTATAATACATTGCAATACAATTTCGTGAAATACCTTCCGTTTAGGATTTAAAGGTGAATTGGGAGTTACCTGCTTCTACTTGTCTCATCAGAAGGATCCGATGCTTTGTGTAGTCAACCTGTGTTGCCCTCTTTTCTCATAATACCTCATCTGTTAACTAGAAAACAGGTCCATCACCCTTTGATGAAAGGCAGGGCAAGATGCTCCTTACATAGCTTCTGCATATCAGACAATATCCAAACTAAGTTGGAATCTGATTCTATGCAAAGATACAAGGGTTATTCCTATGTAGCTGTCTCACCCAAAAAAAGGCCAAAAAGAACCACGGACAACTGAAATACCTGTTGCAATCTCAAAGCAGACAACCTACCTAAAGGCTAGATTTCCACAGCTGCTGAAAAATAGAGGACAGAGAGAACATCAGTCTCCTACCCTGGACCGCACCACACTGTGAGGAGCAGTTTATGAGGCGCTCCACGTCCTTGTTCTGGTGGGGCCTCACGGTACAGCTCTCAGCACCAGCGTCCAAGCTGGGCATCTGTTCTCATTAACAAAGATTAAAAACATGTTACTATCAGCTTCAAGATTTGTAAAAATTATTGCACAAACAAAGTTTGACATTATGCATGAATGCGCAAAAAGAAGATGGAATCTTAATCTGACACCAGCACAGCATCAAAAGCTTATATGGACTAATTGCCCGTGATGGGCGAAAGGCAGGTACAGGACTACAGGCAGAGAATGAATATTAACTGAAGCACTGTAATCACTAGGGATGAATATTATGGGCGACCTGCACCGCTACCCCGCCACACGTGCTACCAGCCTGCTATCAACTGCGCGCGCGTGCTGCTGGAATGCTGCATCAGAGAGGCATGCTCACGGATAGAGAGAGGAACAACTGAGTCAACGTGAGAGTAGACAAGATGCAAATATATTGCTATTTACGGTATTGCCCTAATAGAGATAGAAAGCACATGGAGGCCCTTTAGGCTTCTGAGAAGGACATAAAATGAAATACAAAATTACATTAGGGATGGCAAAGAGGCATTATAACTTTTCAGTGGTAAATCAGGAATCATAAATTCTTTCTATGTTCATACGATTGAGTAGTAGAGTGTTGGTTGTTAAAATTGTTTCCGAGAGAAAAAAATATGGTAGGAAATGATAATGAATATTTTCGATCGTTTCTGACCGATTTCATCCCTAGTAATCGTGAGTGAGACTTTTAGGGCTTTAACCCATCTATTACTGCCTAAACATGCAGCAGGCATTCATAGCAAAGGCAGGTTTCCCTTTTTAATCCCTCAATCTATCACACTTTTTGCACAAAAAAATAGCTCTAAAAATACTATAAAAAAAGGAAAGAAAGAAAGAAAGTCTAACCCGCTGGGCTCGTTTTCAGACCACATGACAATGACAATCGCTGGTTCAATTGCCTAAAACATCCATGAAATTTGCAGGGTGAGTAGGTATGAAATGCATAACTGAAAAAAAACATGACAGAAATGCACTGATTTCTTGGACCTTGATGGCCTTGAGAAGGTCATATGCAGTATTCAGTGAGGATCATGTTGATGGCCTTCTGCTGCAAAATAACATAGGTTAACTTAGCTGATATTTTAAGAAACAGTTCTGAATTAAGGAAAAGAAGAGAAAAGGATAACAGGTGTACTTTGGAACCTCAACTGGACCTTTCCTTTCAAAAAGAGCATAAGCTATCACAAAGACCCACACACTGATGTGTTGGTCGGTGGCCGCACAGAACAACACGGCAGGCAGGGACTTACCAACTATGGAACGAAGCCGTGCTAGTTATCATGTACAATATGTGGATGCTTTTAATATAGTAGAGCCAACAAATGGAATGACATAATAGTTTGATTGGCCTTTTGATTTCCCAGAAAGTAAACATTAGATCCATTCAAGAACACCAGCATTAAAAACTGCTACATGAGCTTCATGTTAGTACTCCACCCACATTTAGAGTTACTAAGTATAGTATCACGACAAAATTCATGTCAGAGCACCCTAATTACACCAGATGCAATGACTGGCTCCATTCTAACCCTTCTATGCAAAGGTAATTGTCAAAAGCTGTAGAAGGAAAACTATAAAACTTAGTGTCAACAACTTTTGCTTGATTGCTTCAAAATGGCAGGTCAAACAAGGCAGACCATCATCAACTGTCTTAAATCAACATTAGGAAGTTCCATTTGCCTCCACTGTTTCTGTGGTCCCTTGAAGAAGTTCCTTACTAATAGCAGCTGGGTCAAGCTCATAGCTATCTTTGGGGACATTTGGAGCTTCTTCACCTGACATCCTGTAGAAAGGCACTTGATGTGAAAACCGAAACATCTCTTCTTTGGGAATCTTCATGGTACCATTCAGATCCTGATGGCGTTCAAATATTGTTCGAAACCCGGCAACTTTAGCTAAAGGAATAACAGAGATGCCATGATCTTCATCATAATTATCTAGTACCTCAACCACATCATAGGCATGGAGCACATTATCTGGAGTATCTTCATCCCAGTCAGGGGACCAATTCCGATAAATAGCCCAGATGTCACCTTTCTGTGGATAAATTTTGATTACCCCACGCGGCCCTTTCTCCCATTTCATTTGGTGTGAAAACATGTTGACTATATCACATGTTTCATATTTACCAGTCCTGAAATGCCCACATGACTTTGTGAAGCCAGAAGAAACCCAATTCAAAGGCCCAAATTCACTATTTGTCCTTGACTCGAGATAGCTTATTCTGAGCTTGAATGGTTTCAAGGAAAAAATTTTCTGAATAAACGCATAATAACGAGGCATACCATCTTCGTCATCATATGTAGCCCAAATTTGATCAATTTGAAAACATTCCTCACTGCGATCCTTGTCAAAATCATGGAAATCAGGATCAGGAACATTATAAGACAAGGGGTCATCATCTTCATTTTCAGCATCTGAGCTAGTATTAGAACCAATTTCTTTTGGATCAACATGAACATCTTTATTGGTAGTAGGATCATCTGGTGCGAGAGCTTCATTATCCCTTCCATTTTCATTAACCACATGTTTCTTGGTCGCTTTTCCACTAGCAGCAACTTGAGATGTTTTACTTTTAATTTCTGTTAGCTTGTTTCTCAGCCCACTTTTCGCTTTTCCCAGCAGAAGACCCCTAACATCCAACTGAGAGGTGGCCTTGGCTAAGCTTATGTGGATTGGAGGCCTGGGTTTCCAATTGGGTCCACCATTGACGCCTTGAAACTCATAGGCCCCAATGTTGGTTGAAAAAGATATATTCACACCGGGCACTCTAAAACAATTTGCTCCAGGACCTTGTATGAAAGATGAAGAACCAACTCCAGCATCTTTAACCATAGTCTTCAACTTCTTTCCAGATGCAACATCACCTGTTCCAGGATTAAAGACATCTGACATGCTCGCATGCCTTTTTAGAGGATTGTACTTCCGCCGAAGAGCCTCTTCCTTTCTTGCTGCTGCTTGTGCCTCCTCCCTCTCCCTCCTAACTTTTTCATACGTCTGATGAACTACATTAGCAGCTTGAGCAGCAGCAGCAGATGATGCAGTGGCACTAGCTGCACCAGCAGCCCTTGAAAATGGACCCCACTGCATATTTCTGTTAGTGCTTGCATTTTGATTTACACCACTGATCTTTGAATCCTGTATCACAGTCCCAGTTGGTGGTATTGGTGCCTCTTTTGCTAGGAACGGCTCACGGCAGCTAGGGCAACGAAGATGCTGGCCCAGATACACCCTAAGGTACTCATAGTTCATCTTGCATTTGTTACATGAGGTCCAAAATGTAGGAGGTTTTGCCCCAGGTGCAGGGGTAGCAGAGGAAGCTGCAGGAGTGGGTCCAGATGGTGGTGGAGGTTGAGGTGGGCGCGGGCGCACGGCAGGTGCTGCCGGTCTTGCTGTTCGCTTGTTTACTGTCGGTTTGGAGGCAGCAGCAGCGTTAGCTGCGAAATTATAGAAGCCATCAGACGCACCAGGAGGCGCACTTGCCTTACTTGATTGAGCTGCCCTCTGTTGGAATACCCTTACATTCCTCTTTTGGTCATATACCGCTCTCTTAGTTTTGTCGCTAGCACCGATACGCCTCTTGGACCATCTGGAAAGCACCCTCAGCACCGACTTGCTTGTTCTTGTCAGGGTGGAGCTGAAGAACCAGCTTCCTGTACCGTTTCTTGATTGTTTCGTCATCTGCTGTCGTGGCAACACAAAGGATAGAGTACCAGTCCTTGTCCCCAACAACCTTCACCTCCGAAGCAAGATAGATATCAAAGGTGGCAACCATCTGAGCAATGCCTTCAAGATCAGGAAAGAGTGTTTGAGCTTTGAGAGCGAATTTCTTGGCACCCTGCAGGTCCCTCGCTTCAAACTTCTTCTTTGCAATATCCTTTGCCCGTTGGGCCTCATCCCTGTTGCATTCCATTTCTTCACACCTCGAAAAGCACAAATAACCACACCTTTTGCAATTGATTCACAGAATTTCGGTCCTCGGAGTGCAAGAAGTTTCAGAACCCTGCCCAAAAGGAAACAAATATTACCTAAATTGCGAAGCTTACAAGTTACAACCAGCAGGGGCGGACCCAGTAAAGGACCCAATAATTTTTTGCAAAGCAATTGAAGTTAGTAGGCATAATACATGCATATACACCTGTAATTAGATTCAGATCCGATTACGAATGGTATGTTAGGGTTTGCGCGCACGGTTTTACCTATGAATTACGTTAAGGTTTGGGCGCACGGCTTCGCACAGCAGTAAGGGAGAGGACCAAGGGGAGGGAATACCTAGTGTCCTGGTGGTGCTCGTCGCCGGCCAAAGTGGCGAGTGGCGAAGTAGGACAGCAGCGACGGTCGCAGGGACACCGGGGCTGCAGAGGGCGGACGCCGTGCCGGAGATGGTCGCGAGGACGCTGGGCCTCAGGTGGTGCTCGACCGAGCGCAGTCTCCTCTCCGGGGTTGCGGCGCCGCGAGCGGATGAAGGAGATCGGCCGCGGGCGAGAGGAGTCCAGGCGGCGGGGCAAGGGTCGAGCAAGGTTAGAAAAAAAGGGAAAAAAAGAACATGAGAGACGGAGAAGAGAGTGAGGTGAACGGGAAGGGGAATGGGCCAGAGAGGTGAACCGGTGAAACCCCAACAGCGAGCCATGCGCTCGGCTCGTGGGCCTCGGGCCCTCGGGCTATGCCTAATTCTTTTTTTAATCGGTTTATTTATTATTATCCCCTCACTCCCCTATCTTATCTAAATACACGTGGTGAAATACCTATGCTTGAAACTTGTTTCTTTTTTTCATCTAAGCCTCCATGCTTGCCCACTGCAGGAGAGAATTCAGGCATCGAAAACTTTGGCATCGAGGAAAGTAGATGCATCGATGCTGGCTTTGAAAGGGAATATATGGTCCCACCTGTAAGTGACATGACGAGCTGACAAGAGTTACGAGGGGAGAGAAATAAAATGATGTTTGTCTTGCTATTTTGAGGCATTGGCACACTCCACACTGTAGCTTAAATGAGAGCCAAGCATCGGTTATGACATGATATTTGGGAGCATTGCCACACTGTGGCTAGTCTCGGTCGTCGAATCTCCCGAGGGATGGAAAAGGGCCAGCTGGATTTACTCTTTGCGACATTTATATCCAAGCCCTTCTAGAAACATCAAATCTCATCTTTAGAATTGGATCCCTTCCTTTTTTTTCTCTCCCCCCTCCTCTCGTGCTGCGCATGTACCTAAGCAGTAAAGGGATGGCAATCCTACACGTGGGGATGGGTTCCCGCGGACCCTTATGGATAAGTAAACGTGTGGGTATAAAGAGTATATTTGGATCCAAGTGCTAAACTTTAGCTATACATCCAAAATAGGAGTGCCAATGAGTTGTACTAAACTTTAGCCAAGACTCAAATACATTAATTGAGGGATTGGTGCTAATAAGTGCTAAACTTTAGCACTAGCACTTTAGACGGTCCAAACGGGGCCAAGATATTGTCCGCGGGCAAGATCGGGTCGGGTACTCAAACTAAGACGGATAGGATAATGATATCAAATCTTACCTATGGTTACCAATAGGGTACATGAAACACAAAAAGGTCCATTAATATGGTGTAATATTTATTTGGATAATTGTTGTGTGTGCTCAATGGATGATATTTATTTGGTCTTATCTTGTAATATTTGTTTGGCTTGTGAGAGACATAGGAAGGAGAACAGGAGGGAAGAAGAAGGGGACAAAAGATCATAAGGTGAGAGAGGCACACCCTCCCAAGTCTTGGTTGACACCGCTTCTTTTTTAACAGATTCTTACGTTTCACCTTTGTGCTCATTGTGTTTTTCCTAGGGGCTAGGGGTATTTACCACTCTTTGTATACGTTTGATTTTGGCTCTGTTTGGATCCACCAGCTAAATTTTAGCTGGCTACAGGCCACCGCTAAACCTAGCTAATGGGAATCAACTAATCACATTAGCTATTCCAACCTAGCTAATGGTAACTAAAACTAGCTAATGACCAAATTTCTCATCAATTATTTCCGCATCGGCGCCCCCACCGCCCGCTTCTTCCCTTCCGCACATCTGCGTCCGAGCGTGACTCTTTTCCCCCACCACAATCTTTTGTGCCGCCGGTGGGAGGAAGGGAGGGCACCGGGGTGACTATCAGTGGGAGAGGGGGTGGCTTGCTGCCACCTCCACCACCGAGGAAAGGGAGGAATCGTGGTAGAATCCATGGGGGAGGAGGAAGCGCCGCCATCGGGGGTCGAGGGGCGGCCGCCAGTGGAGTGGAGTGTAGGGTCGTCGTGGCCGATGGGAGGAAGGAGGGTCGCCACCACCTGTGGGAGCCCGCCGCCTCCTGTGAGATCCAGATGGGGAAAGCGAGGACCGATGCCTGGGCTCATCGACGACACGGTGGCCGCCTGTGACGAAAGGTGGAGCTATGGCACGATGGGGCTCGCGTGGGCCTACTGATGCTCGTGACTTGCTCCGACGTGGTCCGTAGGCCTCTGGCCACGCACGCGGAGGAAGCTACTGGTGGTGTGGATGGGGCGCGAGGATGGCTTGGCGCAGTGGGAGCAATGGGGATGGATGGAGGAAGAAAGGGACAATAGGGTCAATATTCACCCATTAGCTAGAGGATCCAAATTAAACAACCCTAGCTAAACTTTAGCTGGCTACACTTTAGCTAGTCAAATTAGCTGGCTAAAATTTAGCCGGAGTGGATCCTAACACGACCTTAACATATCTAAGGCCTCCTCCAAGAGTTAGTACCTAGCTCTAAGTACTCTAAAGGCAACTCTTCCGATAATGATCTAACTTTTAGCACATAACTAACTCATAATATGAATGACCCCATAGGCCACATTCATCCCCACATACTCTCTCCGTCCCAAAAAAAACTTGTCATTCTAGGGTTCAAAATTCACCTCAAAAAACAAGTCATTTTACCCCACTTGGTATGTGCATAAGTGCATGCAGGCCTACATCAGTCAATTAGCACTAAATATGGCTAATAAATAGAGGTAATCGTCGTCATTTTACCTTCATATTTATCTGTCCTAAAAAATCCTAGAATGACGTGTTTTTGGGGACGGAGCAATTAGTCTTGAAGTGTTGAAAGGTCATAATGGCTAGAGAGAGGGTGAATAGTTTATAAAAATTTGTACAACAACACTAAGCAAAGTGGTTAGACAAATATGAGGCGAAGCGAGTGTTGCGCTAGCCTACTAAAAATACAAGCCTCCTATCCACAATTCTAGTTGCTATGATCTATAATTCACACACAAGAGGCTATGTCACTACCACTAAGTTAGTGTGCTCTCAAAGACTAACTAAAGAGCCACACTAATCACTAGATAAGACACGAGCTAGCTCTCAAAACTAATTACACTAAAAAGTTTAACTAAATTAGGAATGTAAATACAAGAGTGAGGTAGTGAAGTTATACCGACGTGGCAAGCGATGATCAATCAAACAATCACAATGAATACCAATGAAATCCCGGTGACAAGATGACACAATGATTTTTTTACTGAGGTTCACTTACTTGCCGGCAAGCTAGTCCCCATTGTGGCGATACACCCATTTAAAAGTTCACGCGCTAATAGGCATCGCACGCCTAACCCGCAATCGGGTGCCGCATAACCAACACAAGAAGGGGATCACACAAGCCATGAGCAATCCACTAGAGTACATTTTGCCTCTCCGCTCGAGAAAGGTCAAGAACCCCTCACAATCACTACGATCGGAGCCGGAGACAATCACATTCCTCCGCTCGACGATACTCACTGCACCAAGCCGTCTAGGTGGCGGCAACCACCAAGAGAAACAAGAGAATCCCGCAGCGAAACGCAATCACCAAGTGCCTCTAGATGCAATCACTCGAGCAATGTGCTTAGATTCACTCCCAATCTCACAAAGATGATGAATCTATGATGGAGATGAGTGGGAGGGCTTTGGCTAAGCTCACAAGGTTGCTATGTCAATGCAAATGGCTAAGAGAATGAGCTAGAGCCGGCCTAACACCTTAAATAGGGAGCCCCTTCGAAAAGAGTCGTTGCCCCCCTGCCTGCACACAAATCGTGACCGGACCCACGCTTACTAGCGTCCGGTCACTGGATCTGTGCCACGTGTCACCTCCTTCAAACGAGAGTCGCTGATCTCCAACGGCTAGTCACAGTGCGCCCAACGGTTAAGATAGGACCGGATGCGGCGATCAACAAGACCGGACACGCTGGTGCACAGTTAGCCCGCGCGTGTGCCCAAGCCACAAAGCACTGCCCGGACGTGCTACTCCCCGCGGCTTCTCAACGTTAGGTCACTTCCAGTAAGGGTCCAGAGAGGGATTTTGCTGACCGGACCATCCGATCATGTGTGACCGGACGTGCCTCAGCGTCCATTCCTCTCTGGCCCGCGAGTTAGCCCAATGTCAGCGTACGTCAGCATTGACCGGATGCACCTCTGTCGCGTCAGGTCACAAACACTATTCAGCGTCCGATGCAACACTCTAAGCACCGTTGCCTCGGCACCAACTAACCGGATGCCCGGCCCGAGTCCGGTCGAGGGAAAACAGCCCCTCGACTTCACCAACTTCTCCACCATTGCTCAAATATGCTAACCACCAAGTGTTTCGCCTTGTGCACGTATGTTAGCATGTTTTCACAAATATTTTCAAGTGTGTTAGCACTCCACTAGATCTAAATGCATATGCAATGAGTTAGAACATCTAGTGGCACTTTGATAATCGCATTTCGATACAAGTTTCACCCCTCTTAATAGTACGGCTATCTATCCTAAATGTGATCACACTCGCTAAGTGTCTCGATCACCAAAATAAAAAGAACTCATATGAAGTTTTACCTTTTCCTTGAGCTTTTTGTTTTTATCTTTCTTCTTTTCTAAGCTCGAGCCCTTGATCATCACCATGCCATCACCATCATCATGACCTT